TCCTATGCTGATAGGTGTGAAGGAGGGCGTTTTGCTACCTATGCATGTCAGACAGGACGAAATTACCTCGTTTTTCCAAAACTCGATACGGCCGTTTCCATGTCGCGGAAGCACGTGTGACAAGAACGCTTCGAACGTAGCAGCGGCAGACGGGTCTGACTTTGACGGAAGTGATCTCATCTTTTTAGAATGCGAGGTGACCTACTTCTCGCGTACTATTGCCGATGAAAGTGGTTTACGACTTGCCTTTCCCATACACTACACTCGCTACCTGACATGATTACGGCTCGGTGAAGGGAAAGGCCCAGCCAGGGCATGAATGCAACGGAACATTATCCCATGGCAGGGTTGTATTGGATGGCGCAGATATTGATACGCACCACCACCACCCACCCATGCGTTGATCGGGACGGTCCAGCCACGAACTTGAAATAGACCCCCGCAGCCGTGGCCGACGGAGACTCTCTCTGAGAGATACACACACCCAGTCACCCACGGTCAGTCGTCGGACTCGTGCCACGCACCCTTGGGAGAGACACGATAGCTAGGCCAAGGTTGGATGGCTTCGACGCGGCTGAGTGCCAACTGAGTGCGTGGCAGCGTGCGAGTTGTGGGGGTATTCCCTTTTTTTTCGGTCGCCTGTCCGGCATTATCACGGCAGCTCCATAGTAGAGCTTTCCCAAAGCTAGCCTCATCAATGATCAAACCCCCTTCACCAATTTTCGAAACTTTACCAAGATGGCTAAGCTAGGCCTTTTCCAAGCTTGGGTGCGGCTGCGGCTGGCTGAGGATATCAGTCCCTTCGCCGACCAGTTTGTCGGTACCCAGCCACATAGGTATATAGCTTTTAGTTGTACACGGGCAACGAAGGATGTCGGTAGCACAGATTCTGCGCTCACGATCACACTTCTTTGGACGTGAGGCTGAAAAGCCACTCTTCGACGGCCCAAACCGAGAGACTTCTAGAGTCCAGCTGACTGGATATGTTTTCGACGTCGGGATTCCAAGCCTACGTACGCTGTGGCTTTTCCCCTTACCCCCCCGTGACAGCAGGGATTCCAGAGATAAGGAAGAAGTAGTGTAAGCCAGAGGGTTGAATCCGGCGCCCGGTGATGCGACAGTAGTCTGTCTGCATGGCGAGTCTATCTCGTGACTCTGGCGGCGATAGCCAAGGCAGCGCGGGATGTTTCCAGCCTGGCTTGGAGGGCAGCGATTCCCACCTAGACAAGGCTAAGAACTCTGAAAAATCAATATTCCTAGGGCCAGGCTGCTGGGGGGGGGGGGGTGTTCAAGATAGGGAAATAGGTAGGTGAGCTGAAAAGCTCCATATTCCCAAACCGAACTGCGCATGGCCCCAAACGGGCGCGCTGCACGTACTTTGACAACGACTGCTGCTGCTTTCAGGTGACCGAAGGTTGAGCACACCCCCGGCTCAGCGTGCGGTCTCTCCGTATCGTCTGCTTTTGGTCCAAGCAACCGGGTCGGGCTAGGTATCATGCAAGAGCATGTGCGTCGGAAACGCGAACGAGGATAATGACGACGGTCGGGGATTTTTTTTTTTTTCTTCTTCTACCTCTTTCCATGTTGCGGTGTGTATGTACGTGGCGTGCCGGTGCCGAGTGAGAGGGATAGAGAGAGCACGCAATGCGGGCTTGCTTGGGCGTTTATACAGATTGTGCGGTAAGAAAGGCTGGTGTTATCTGCACTTCCGTAGGTGAAATGAAAGGGCTTGATATGCGAGCTCGGAATTATTGAGTCATCCTGGTCGATTGTGATGAGCTGGGCTTGGGACTTGCGTCAAGGATTGTGAAAGTGTCCGAGTGAATGACAGCGATAATCCAGGTGAGTTTGAGGCGGTTTACTTGGCATCAGGAACCAGGCACCATCCGCTGTTAGTTCTTGATAGTCAAGACGGCTGGCACATGAGGCGCGTTGATAGGTAGTCGCGACTCACCAGGCTGAATTGAGCTCGACATGGACAGTCGAGAAAAGGATATGGAATCCTCGCATCGCCCGGCTGTCAGTTCCGCTTTGGCGAGTTATGCCCTGCAGTTGAGAGACACACTGACTCTCGGTGCAGGACGAACCAATTGCTGGAGCAGAGATGTATCCATACATATGCAGATGTACGTTTGTCCGAACTTACTAGATGAAGACTGGATTCAAGATGAGGGAAAGATAAGATGAGTCGAACACCTGAGCGTTCCACGACAAAAGGCACCTTGAATAAGACAGGCAAGGTAAGCACGATGAATGAATCGCAATGATGCATAATACCTTATCTTACCTTAAGGTACCTTCCTTCCATCCATCGACTTGGGTGAGGAGGTAAGTACGTACCTTACCATGAAATGCACCACATGGAAGGAGGCCAGATTGCTATTCGATAATTCCTTCCTTCGCGAGGTCAAGTCCGGTTCGCTTGCCTTTCGTGCCTTCACGCTCTGGCAGGCTTACCTACTACAAAGTACGAAGGTACAAGCAGCTGGGACGTTACCTTTCGTAGGCAGTCCGTGACGGCAGATGGATCCCGCCATCCGACCCCCAACAGGTTGACAACTTACAATCGTCGATATGCCTCTTCGCCGTGTGGCCGTACCGCCAACCCGTCTCACATCTTAATGCAATCCATGTTCATACCAGCTGCCTAGCCCTGCTAGCTATCCACCGGCACGAGCAAGCTTCGGGCAGGGGTATAATCTTACATACATTGTACCCTCACACCCCATGCCACGCCAAAACACTTTCAACGATTACGATGTCCACAAAAAAGCAAGAAATGGCAAACCGCCGTCGAACGAGAGGAATTTGCGATATCCAGCCGCTCCATGGGCTCGTTTGCGACCTGCCCGCCCTGGGGTGAGACCTGTGGGCCTTGCTCCGGCATGGGGCCGAACCTTTTTCAAAGGAGCACTTCGTTGCCGCCGGGACGTTGTCGCTGACTGCTTCAATGCCTTTTTCAGCCGCCAGCGGTCTTTATTGAACAAAAGATGACTGATGACATTGGATGATGACGAGGACGACGACGAAGAAGAACAACGCAGAAACAGAGAACGCAAAACGGCCCCAAGATCGTCACGTCCAGTCAAAGTTTCGGTCTCGTGTAACAAACAAGAGTATTGTCATTGATGTAATGGGAAGACATGCCGAGTGGCGTACTGGACGCCTACAATGGAAGCCCAAAGATAGACAACGCTGCAGTAGCTTTCTGCTTCCCCCGCCCGTTGCCATGGTCGGCATTGAGAACAAAAGACCCGTTGACAAAACGTCAGACAGTCGACCGCTGGTCTTACTTGACCTAGCCTAGTCGACGGCGGCGACGACGAGGGCGATGCGTGGTGGTGGTCAGGCACACACTCATGGTAGCGGTATTGGTGGTGGGAGGACGAGACTTACGGGACGGACGGGGGGAGGGGCACATTGGCACACCACCAGCAATTCGCCAATTCATCATCGGCATCATCCACCCTCACAGAGTATCCATCACCGGGCCCTGATTCCCCTGAAGCGGACCAGCGACTTTAGCTCGACATGCCCCTGTCCAGTGCGGCTGGGCTGGGTCCTCCGCTCATGGGGAACAACCTAAACGTGAAGCCAACGCCGACACCAACGCCATCAATCGGGGCCCTGGAATGTCCGCGCGAGTTTCCGTGCTGATGATCTGGTACTGGGTACCTGGGCGTCGTCTAGCGGCTTGTCTCCCACCGACGCTATCGAATTCCAACCAAGGACTTTCTTTTACTGCCACGATCACAACGCTCGTGCTGGAGACGGCGCATCCCTGCAACAAGGTACCGCTACTTGTCTCTCGAATACGAGGGCCGTTTGGTCAAGCAAAAAAAGAAGAAGGCACAGAAAGCCAAACGTTTCTCTGCTGCACAAATCTACACGTATTACGGGCCCAATCAACCAAGCAGAATAGACAGCCGCCAATCTTTTCCGGGCGACCAGTCCTTGCTGAGCCGCTGCAGCTATGATTTGCTGTGCGGCGCCGGGAATAGGCATTAGGAAACTTGAATCCAACTTTGGTCATGACACGAAACGAGGCGAGGCCAATATAAGCCTGAGTAGGTTGTCACCATGGTTCGGGGACGATATTCACAGGTCCCATGCCAGTCCAGTCCTACACAACCTCAGTAGCCGGTGCCAAGCGTTGGTTCCAAATCTGTCAAAAGCTTTGGCTAGTGACCTTCTTGTCGGTTCATTCGCATCCTACCTTGAACCCCCAGCCGCGAGTCGTCGAAGAACGCTATCTCAGTCAGCTTCTGGACCTGGACCTGACCGTGCGACTCAGGGGTATCGACAGATGGACCGGGACGAACGAAGACGTAGTGAAGTCTGACGGCAGCCCGGCGACACCATTGACACTATCGTACGGGATCCTCTACCCAAGAAGCGGGACTGACGGCGGCACCATCTTCCAGCGTCTTAGTCGGGATCGTCCTGAAGGCTGGACTCGCCTTGGTTGCCAAGAAGAGACACGCATTGGAGCCCTCGGGAGCCAGAAGCTGCAGAGAAAACGAGCGAGCTGCACGTCGTCTGGGACCCCCGCTTGGGAATTGTCCCAATCCACGTCGACCATGCACCCATCCCATCTCTTTCTGCCACCACCCCCATGCATATCCCATGTCCAACCCCAAGACACACACCACCGCCACGCCTTAAAGGAACCTGGGCTCCCGACCTAACCCAGCTTCCGTTCTGGGCTGCCTGGTGTTCCTCCCAACTCTCGCTCATCTATCCATATTACTTTGGCATTTGCAATCCGCTTTCCCGGGCAAGCATTACCTAAAGCTGTTTATCGTTATTTGCTTATATCCCTCCCCAAACCTGCCCTACCTGTGGTACAATACTCGTCCAACTCTCGCTTCAACCTCCCAACATTCATCCGTCACCTGCCAGAGAGGCACGAGCCATCTCCCACAACGACCGCTACTAGTGAAAGTGAACGGACGACTTTTCGCCAAGCCGACACCTTTCCCATATCGCCAAGTCAGAGAGTCATTCGAGCTGGGATTTGGTCTGTGGTACCGCCCGAGTTTCACCTGTGCGGCCTGAGTATAGCCCAAACCAGCTGCCCGGGCTCGACTTATACGAAATCCTGCCAGTCATAGAACAACAGTATCCCGGCCGTGGCCTTTATTATTACTTCATCTCCCACCACACAGAGCCGTAGCGGTTGCTGTTTCTTCTCTTCCAACAGAGATACTATCGGTTTACTGGTATAAGTGTGGTTCAACGTTGACGGTTCACACCGTCTCTACCAAGCAACCTTATCATCGTTGGTCTAACGGCACCAAAGAAAGACCAAGATGGCTGTCTTCTCTCTTTTCAAGAAGTCTAGGCAACAGGCCAAGGAGCACAAGCAAAAGCAGGCAGAGAAGGCCGCAGAGGCACCGAAACAGCCGTACAAGCACATTCCTACTCATGCCGCCATTGACGCGCTTGCAGGAGCACCATCAGCATTTAAGCATGAGGACCGACCCAGGATCATGGAACAGAACCGGCGGCGAAGTGCAATGGCCGCCAGCGGCTTGAGCAGAATGCCCGGCCCAAGTCTGCCTCGCGTCTCAAGCAGTCTCTCGCACGTCACCTATCCTTCCGCTCACGCCAGCCCGATGGGCAACATGCCGAGAGCATACAGCTACAGCGGCGGTCCGCCCCCGATGCCTTACTGGCAGGAACGCAACACTAACTCCATCTATGGAGTCCCCGACGGCAGTCGCATCTCACTCAAGGGTTCACTCAAGGGGAAGGAGGTTGATAGGTCGTATGCTTCGGGGCGCAACAGTCCGTCATCCGTCAAAGGTAGGTTGCACTAAATGGTCTCGCCAATCTGAAAGAGAGCCAGAGACTAATACATAGCAGCCGAATCTCCCACGGGTAGCTCAAGCCGCTCGACCAGCTCACAGGAGGACCTGGAGATGAAGCCCGCTCGTCATGTTTCCATGCCACCTACTGCCTCACAGGTACCTCGAAACCCAGCCACTGCTGTTCACACCCACCGTCTTCACCCGAGTTCTCGCCGGGCATCGGATGCATCGGAGCGTGCTGATGGCTCCCCGAAAGCCGAGCACTCCTCGCCTTCTACAGACCGAAGCAAGCCGCCGCCGTCGATGCGCGGGTTCAATGCAATCCCGGCAATGACGTCTCTTCCCCCGATGCAGTGCAACAACTCTCCGGCAACCCAGCAAAACATGGTTGCCTCGTCAGCCGCCTCGACTGCCAGCGTTCGCTCTTCCTCAGGATTCTCTTCATTCAACTTCAACATCAACACCGGCGCCCCCTTTTCGGCGCCCATGTCCGGAAGATCGTCGGCTGCCACTACACCGGCAGCTTGTGTAACGCCCGAGCCAGTGTATGAGTCCGTCGAAGAAGAGGAAGAAGGCGGTTCCTACACCTACGCCCCGCACCCTGTTGCCGCTGCGCCATCCGCCTTGAAGCAGAAGGACCGCCGCAGCACCTCGAAGTCCAAGGTCACGCGTTTCACTGAATTGGAGACCATCGACTCTCACACGGAGAAAGCAGTCAGCGTAGCCAGCATCCCCTACGAGAATACTCGCCGCGACACCACACCGCCGCATGTCATCAACAACGCAGTCGCCATCGAAATGGTCAGCGCCGCGCCGTCTGAGGTCGTTTCCAGCACCAAGCCCGGAAAACGCCTTTCTAAGCAAGCCGGCTCTAAGCTTACTAAGAAGAGCCGTTGGTCAACAAAGAGCTCATCCGCCGTTGCCGTTTAAACGGTACTAAGACGTCACCATTTACACCACACAAACACATTTTTCCTACGTCAACATTTGCTCATGGCTTCGGGTGCCAAAGTATAGCCTCTTTCTAAAACTTGCGCGGGCGTTCGAGAATAATGTCTTACTACACTGACGCCATGAGACTCGGGGTCTCTTGGCTTGTTACCATGCAACACTTTGGGATCGAAAAAAATCGACAGGGGGCACCTTTCAGAGTTGCTGCCGCTGGACTTCAGCAACACTGGATACTTACAGGGACTTGAACATCTTCAGGGTCGGATCCGGGACGGGTCCAATTATTTTCTTACTTGATGACCATATCATGACCACAACTTATACCGATAACATAGACACTTTCCTTACCTCTCATATTACTACCATTACTACAATGTTGGCAGAATAGCGACCAACGAGATGAAATACCGAAGTCTACATCCACCGATTTCCAATGTATCTGCCTTTTTTTTTCGCACTTTGCATGGCCTGATGTTGAGCATTATTTCGACTCGAGACAAATATCCGCAATCACGTGGGGAAAGTCTCGAAATGAGAGACCTTCGATCATCGATGAGACGGGAGGGGAAAAGAAATGAAAAGAGACAGAAATAAGCTCATAATCGTTCACTTTCCCTCACCCCCTTCTAGTTCAAGTGACGTCCCCAGTACAACATTACAGCGAAGTCTTACATCATGTTTAGGCTATGGGCGAGACATTGGTGGAAAACACATCAATGTATTCGTACCCTGTAGAGAGGCTGGCTTGCCCTTGCACCTTCGGCGTGCTTTGCGTGCCTGGCAAGGTTGAAATCCTACCTCTGTAAATGAGACAATCTGAATGTCTCGGGGGCACGGCACGGCAGAGAGAAGGAGAGACACAAGGCTCAGAGACCTGACTTTCCACGCTTGCCAACTTTGTCTACCAGCCTAGTAAGGCTTGGTCTTCAGGAGAGAAAACAGATCGTGATGGACATTCTTCTCCATCAGTTGCCAGGCTTTTGCAAAACCTTGATTCAGGTGGCGTCAGCTTAGCCATCTCCCTCTCTCTGTGTGTTCCTGGCTAATAATGAAGCTACCTCCCAAAAGCCGCCGTCCGTCAGGACCGGACTAAAAGAGGGAAAGGTTTAGTGTGTTTAGTGTGTTTCCGTAGATGGTAAGGTTAGCACAGCAAACGAACAGCTGGACCATGGAAGTTCTTGCCAATCTAGATCACGATGCCGGGTGCGAATTGCGATCGTCAGTGCTATTGATGATTCGGCCGATGTGAATGACAAGAAATAGCCAAAGGTGTCACTTCCCGTCCGGGCCGGACTGCTTGATCCGAGCGGCCAGGACCCAGTACCACGGGCACGCCGATTGTCAGTGATGTACGGATACCACTGTCCGAATAGTCTCGCGTAAAAGGGCAAAAGATCGCCAGGGTCCACGCGAGGTTTCGCGTCGATGAACATGGCCGGCAGGCACCGTCTAGGGATCGTCAGGGACGAATAGCTTTGGTGTACGAAGTATGGGTCTAGTGCAGATGACGAAGACGAGTTTGGCGCGTCCAGCCGTCTTGCTGAAGTTGTCGATGCAATAGGCGACACTCTCTTCTAACCCCCACACGCGTGGATTTGGACGATGGCGGTGGAGACTGATGGCAACGCCAACACACGCGTTATCGAGTACTTGCATGTGCTCCAGAGGCAGCTTAAGCCTTGAGGGTAGGTTCCCCTCCGCAGATGTGACGGGTCAGGTTTGGCGAAGCAGGCTGAGCAAGCCTCATGGTCATGCTTAGGCGGATTCTTGTTGTCTCGGGGCCGACAACCAGCCAATTTGTCACTGAAATCAAGGGCAAGGTCCTGTAAAGACACGGAACTGCACGATGCCGTTATACTCGTCTGATGCTCGGGTTCCTCGAAGCTGTAAACTGGGCAAGGGCAGCGGCCATAATCGCGCTGAGTCAACCAGTCTGTCAGCCAGTCTTCGGCCGAACACACGTATGCAGGGTTCGATGAAATATTGAGTGGTGGCAGAGGATTGTGCGCCGCATGGCATATGCGGTGCAACTCGGGCGCTTTTGCCCTGCCTCGGTGGCTTCAAACCTGTCTCCCCTTTCCATTGATTAGGCACTCCTCAGTGCCCAGATAGCGATAGCAATGCTGGGCAAATGCAGCCTGGTCTATTGGCTCCGTTGGGATGGGTTGCATGCAGGTTCTCGGACGTTTCGTTTGGTACAGACCGGCCTAGCTCACGTTGGCAGTCTTGGCTACCTGTCTGACTTGCATCGAAGAGGGGAAAACTCAGGCGGAGCGTTCGGGGTCCGAGTGAGTGCTGGCACGGATGTGTTTCTCTCTTCTCTCCTCGCTTACAACCGTATCAAGCAGTTGACCGGATCTGGATAACCCTGGACTCGAGAGGCGCCGGGGAAGAGCACGGGAAAGGCTTGGGATGCAATTTCCACAGGAAGACCAACTTGCGCTCAGCTCTGGTAAGCCGTGGCTTGAGGGAACCGTCTGGGCGGCTCTGGATGACCCTTAGTTGATTGTGCGCTCCTCGCGGGGCTGGGGTTCCGTGGTTCCTCAATTTTAAAGTTGACGATGGTCCTTTGGCGCTCGTTTGGAGGCTTGTCAGACGTAGTGCCATTGGACAGTATTCGACCCATTGATGGCTGGCCACATTTATGTTCTTGTATGGGCGGCACGGGAGGTGATGGCGGTGTAAGACGGGATAAGGTACCGGATACACCTCTCCTCATGGCAAGCGGCTTTCCACTCCCATGCCCGAGCTTATGTGGCGTCGCGTGGCTTTGGGGTTGTATGGCATTTACCGGTAGTGACGGCGGCTTGGTGCGAGCGGCTCAGGTGCCGCTGGTGACAACGCGCTTAACGTCTGGTTATCTTGTACGTGGTCTAGGGAGAGAAGTTGGGAACTAGACAAAGAACGACTGCCGCCATTTATCTGCGGAGGTATGGCGATTTGAGGCTTTCATCGCAGCGTGGGGTAAGGGTTGAGCTGCGGTCCTGGAATGTGGGTTGGCTCGGACCGCAACGGGTCTATTCATGGTACAGCATTGCGATGTCTTGGGTCGGAAACTGACGCAGCATGTTCGTTGACTGTGGTTCGGCTCGAAGCATGTCGTTGCCAGTCTCCATTGACCCCACACGCAATACTTGGGTCAAGGTATCCGTCCAGAAAAGAGATGTTGTTCAGCGACTCGAAGAATATGTTAGAGATGCATCGGCTGCCAGTCGTGTGCAGAAGAATCCGAATGAGTAGGGTTACGCTGATGAAATGCGAGAGTAGTGTAGACCCTCTCGGGTGGTGCCGAACGAACACGATGTTGCTCCCAAAAATAGGTATCCGTAGGTGAAGAATGCGATTCATGCCAAAGTCACATTTGCATTGAACATGCTGCCCGGACCCCGGGCCCATCTGAACTTGCAATGGAAGGTGCTAATGCGAGGCTACAGTGTACCTTATCCCCCACAAGCCGAAAATAGCGGGCAAGAGCATCCCCTCAGGGGACCTAGGTATCTGCCTGACAGCTTGAGGAAGGCACCTGGAGAGGCACGCTAGGCAAGGCAGGTACCTACCCCTCCATGCCAATTGGCTCTTGCCATTGGGAGGTGCCCCCAAGGGTCCGACCCAATTGGCCAGCCTCGTTAAGCCACAAAAGAGGGGCTCCCGCGAGCTGCCGCGTTCCGCATTACGTATCCCAGAACCCCAGAAACGGTGGTGCCGAAGTTGCTACATACTCGTCAATTCAGTCGATGCGTTCGTCTCATTGTCATTGAATTCAAGCTGCAGCTGCGGCAGTCGCAGCAATTTTCTTTCTCCTTCTGTTCTTGTGCGTGCAACAGATACCTCTTTCTTTTTCATTGTAATTCTCGCAACATTCGCTCTCTCCCCCTCGTCGGGATTCACCAAAGGCGATTCTGACACCAGCCAGCGCTCATGGTCACCATCGCAACTACACAATGGATCAAGTAACCCAGGCATCGTGGCCGGCCCTTGGCGTCGCGCTGCTCAGTCTTGCCGCTTTCGGTCTTCTTACTGTAAGCTACCTCCCCAATGTACAAAGACAGCTCGAATTTTCAACTAGATACCTCTATTTGAACCAAATTGAAGCTGACAATCTACTCTCGACAGATCTTCATCACCCTCCACCTCGTCGCTCCGAAGCCCCGCGCCGCACTCCCCTCCGAGAAAGTCTACCTCACCTCTTCTGCCTCCGGAAAGCCAGTCCAGGTCGCAGCCCCTTCTTGGTTTGACCGCTGGTTCGCCGAGCGCAGCGTCTCCGAGGCGCGCGCACACCTGACCGATCCTCGCGATGTCCCCGACTCGGGTGCGACAATCGACCCCGCGGACGTGCGCCTGACCGTCGTGCTCCCCGCCTACAATGAAGCAACCCGCATTCTCCCAACCCTCGAGGAAGCCGTTGAATATCTCGACGAGAACTTTGGCCGCCCCTCCTCCCCGACCAAGCCCCTTCTCAGTCCTACCGCTCCGCGCCGACGCTACCAAAATCCGCCCTCCGAGGCCCTCACCGGCTACGAGATCCTGATTGTGGACGACGGATCTAGGGACAGCACCGTCAATGTCTGCCTTGACTTTGCGCAGAAAAAGGGCCTCCACGATGTCATCCGCGTCATCAAGCTGGAGCGCAACCGCGGAAAGGGCGGCGCCGTCACTCATGGCTTCCGCCACGCCCGTGGCGAGTATGTGCTCTTTGCCGACGCTGACGGCGCTACAAAGTTCAGCGACCTGGGACGTCTGATTCAGGGTTGCGAGGAGGTTGTCGACGGCTCGCATCGCGGTGTTGCTATTGGCAGTCGCGCTCACCTCGTGGGCAGCGAGGCTGTTGTAAAGGTATACCCCCTCTCGCAAGACACCTAAATCCCATCTCAAAATGCTAATATGGTCTAGCGATCTGCCTTGCGCAACTTCCTCATGCGATCTTTCCACCTCGTACTAATGATCCTCACTCCGCCCGCCACCTCCCGCCTCCGCGACACCCAGTGCGGCTTCAAGCTCTTCACGCGCGCCGCCCTCCCACACATTGTCCCATACATGCATGCCGAGGGCTGGATTTTCGACATTGAGATGCTTCTTCTGGCCGAATCAGCCCCGCCAGCGCCCGTTCTCGGAGACGATGGCAGTGTTATTGGCACCAGCCCCGGTATTCGCGTGGCTGAGGTGCCCGTCGACTGGCACGAGGTCCCCGGAAGCAAGCTCAGCGTCATCTCGGACAGCATCAAGATGGCCCTCGGCCTGGCGATTCTCAGGGGTAGCTGGATGATGGGTGTCTACCGTCGGAGATTGACATGATACGTGTTTGTGCGGGCTTCGCTTCTTTGTGTTCTTATTCTCAACCCTTCTTGATCGTCTTGTCCAGAGTAAACCGAAGGGTGTTCATGGTTCCCCCTTATTCTAGATCGGGGTTGAAAATGCTGGTAGAAAAAGTTGTGATGCAGACTTTGGAATCTGCGCATATAGACAGGGCAAGGGTGGTTTGCCCACCTTTCATCACATTGGCAGGTAGAGAATCTAGCTAGGTCAATGGAATCCAGACATGAACCTTGGTTACTTGGTCATGCGCATGTGAGATGGCTCAACTACGTCCCAAGTAAAGGTGGTGAGTGCCCCAGTCTTCTGGTTCTGTCAGACAAGGTTCCCCATTATGCTACAAAGTCCTAGGACTAAACCCTGGCTCCATTGTTACGCATTGTCGTCCTCCACCCATGATAGTTCGTGCCTGGCCATGGGGAAATGAGTATGAGATTCCTGAAGGACCGACTAAGCCTTAAGTCTGACACACGTTTTCTACTTATCATCATTCATGGCAGTGTCATTGCAACTGGTGACCTTGACAGATCGTTAGTGGTATTTGTAAGGGGGGTGAGAGTCTTGGCCAAAGACTGAAAGCGAAACTACGATGACCGTTCTCCTGAGCCAATAGGCTATCACTCCTTAACCTTAAGCTCATGACATCTACCGCTACGCATCCTCGTCCGCAGTTTCACTATTGCGGTCCGGATTACGTTTCTTAATTGTTGCTCGTGTTTGTGACTTTCTTTGCTCAAGACACAAGTCGAACTAGATACGATAAAGCTTCTCCTTACTCTTGTCCTTATCGTACAGAGCATCGGTAAAAGATTTGAGGTCCGCTATAGTATTGCTAACAGCAATATCCTGAGCAACGAGTATCCTGGAGCTCGTCGTCCTCGTAGAGTGCATGCCAGGCCTGGACGTTGTTGCTCCAGTGGCGTATAAAGGAGTTCTAGTAGACGATGAGGTGACGGATGACCTCAGTCAAGTAGTTGCTAGAATATATGTGTTACGTATTATTAGTTCAAACCGTGTATAGTTGTCTTTAAATAATGGTATGAGAATGTGGTAATGTCCAGTAGCCGTGTTTGCTTGAGAGTGTTCATGGGTTATCTAGTAAGGAGATCCGGAAGAAGATCTGCGAGCTCAAGGACTATTATAAAGAGAGACCTTGGTCTTCTTCGTCACACCCAGGTTGGCCGTGTCCGGAAGAATACCGATCCTTTCCATGCGCGCCATGCTTGAGGTGGAAAGTCGCGGGCAGGGAAGGGTAGGGGGGGAACCTACGATATGCGGGCATCAAAAGCTACATGGACGGCACTCTATTCAACCAAGGCATGGAGGGCAAACTCGTACAGTCGTATCCGTATGTACGGAGCAGTGCCAGGAAATCCCTCTAGCTTTTACTTGGATGATGATCGCCCTAGCCACTTGGCCACCTCTATCACGGTCGCAACGAGCTCCGCCCGCGTCAACTCTCCCGTTCGGAGCCTTTCAAAGTTAGGATATCTCCCCCCCCCCTATTGCCGTACGCTGCCTCGGTCCTGTCTCATCCACAATAATAACGAAACTTCGCCCGCCACATTAGCAACAATGTTCCATCCTGCAACGAGCATATATGCACCGACCAGCACCTAGTAATTATTAAATTCTCACGCCGTATTCGAAGACGAATGTACATACAGCGAACGACGACTAACGACCAAGGACAAACAAAAGCCCAGCAGAACAAACAAAGGACATTCAGACATACCAGCAGCCCATGCCTCGCAACTATCCCTCACGCAATGAATAGCGAACAGAGCAGCCCGACTGGCGACCACTGAGGAGCACAATGATATCGATCACCACAGTCAAATTCCTACTATAGACTGACCAAAGGATTTTGTCAACGATGTGGATGCCTGCTGTACACAACGGAAGAGTAGAACAGAAGACAGACGTATTCGAACGTGATAATTAAAATTATGATATGGTCTGATACACCTGTATCTACACTCAAGGTGATCCAATGATCCGCTTCCATCCCAAATATGGTTTATCGTAACTGAGTATATATACAGCCCCGGGACGAGTAGGGGGGAGAATTGCCCCCTTTTTTGTTTCCTCTTTTCGTTGGCTCATCACTCATTCCGCCAACGTTCTCTTTGCTCATGTCTAATAACTCTGATGACAATGATGATCTTCATGGTCTAGTCGTTTCTTTAATTCAGCTCACGCCACATGACGGGCAAGAACACGACACTCGCCCTCCAGAGAATGAGAATGCCGTCAATGAGCGCCAGCGGCGCCTTCAAGAAACCGAAAACGCTACCGCTCATGAGGTTGAGAGCGTTGAGCCAGATAGCGAGGAAGGCGACGCTGAAGAAGTGGTACGCGAGCTTGCCTGGCTGGTGCATGAGGCCGCCCATGAGGGCCATGGGCTCGGAGGCGTGGCCGCGCTGGAAGTAGGAGAAGCATCCCATCTGCAGAGCGCGCAGCTGGCGGTCGTTTGCGGCGAAGAGGGCGTATAGAGCCATGGCCAGCACGTTGATGATGGACGTGAGGCTCTTGCGGCGCCAGTGGAATTCGCGCAGGACTCCCTTCAGGGCCACGGGGTCGGCGAGGTCGCTCACGCGCGAGGGATGGAGCAGGTCGGAGAGAATGACACAGTCGTTGAAGGCGACGGTCATGCCGCCGCCAGTGAGGGGGTGACGCATGTTGAGGGCGTCGCCCAGGAGGAGCATGCCGTTCGCTGTCTGGCGGGACGGAGGAAGATAGGAGTTGGGCATGGATCGGGGGATCTTGCCGTCGGCGAGAGCAGCCTCGAAGCATGGCCGCATCTGGGGGGGCAATGTGGGCATGACGACGTTCTTGATGTAGCCACGAACACCACCAGCAGCGGGCGAGGCTTCGGGGATATTGGCGGGCACGTCGATGAGCGCGCGGGTCTCGTGGGTGCCGATCTGGTACAGAAGGACGGGGAAGGCATTACCGATGCAGACGTGGCCGTAGCCGGGCGAGAGCATGGGGGCGTCGATGAGCTCGAGGGCGTAGAACTTTGACTTGACGACGGGTTCTTGCGGCAAGTACTCCTTGCGGAACTTGGAGGCGTAACCGTCGGCGATGATGGTCAGCTGGCCAAAGAAGTAGTCGTCCTTCTTCTGGCCCGTGGCGTCTGTCGTCTTGGACCTTACACCAAGCACCGTGTCCTTATCGTCGCCTTGTATCGTGGCCGTCACTTCGGTCTCGACAACGGTGATGTTCTCCTGTCTCATGCATGCCTGGCGCAGGTTGTTGATGAAGCGACCGTGGTGGAAGCATCTGCCCTCCTTCTGCTTCGCGCTCGCGGATGCGGCTTCGCTCTCTGAAGCATGGATCATACGACCGCTCTCGTCAAAAGAAGGGTAGGGGATGTCGATTCCGTCTCCATGAAAGCTGACTTTGTAGCCGTAGCAGGGAATTGCGTCAATGCCCTCGAGGCAGTCGGCCAGGCCTAGCTGACGCAGGGCGACGATGCCGCCGGGTTGCAGCAGCTCGCCGACAATGCGATCGGGCTCCTTCATCCATCTCTCGAGTAGGAGTACACTTCTTCCCTGCTGACCCAATGCGTATGCAATGGCGCACCCAAAGACGCCGGCGCCGACGACAACGACATCGGCCTCGTGGTACTTTGTGCGGCGCTCGGCGCGGGCGTCGGCCGCTGCTGTTGAACTTTCGATCATTTCAATTCGGCTCTCAGGGGTTCGTCTAGCTGGGTTTGAGTGTTGCTGTTGAAGCGTATGGTGGCGGGGGAAGGTGGTGGTGTTGCTGATTGTCGTGAATAGGCCTGTGCGAAAGAACGCTTTGATAGGAAAGGCAGCAAAAGGGGATGTTGAATGTCACCTTTGAGGGGAGCCTCGGATTCGGTCGTTGGGAGTTGCGCTTGGAAACGTTGGGGGGAAGCGTTTGGCTTTGGATAATGGGAAGAACGGGAGGGGAGGGGAATCAGAAAGTGAGACTGGTTGCCGCTATCGGGTTTTATGAGAGACCAGGCGAGATTGGAAGAGGTCGAGGGGTGGGAGGTGGTTAGACTTGTCGTTCATGTCCCGCCTCGAACGATATGGTGGCAGATGAAATCCAAACAAGAAAAAGAAGCGTGATGAGTGGACGATTCAGTTTAGCTGGGGCCCCTGCACTATAGCCTTTTGCCAGGGGGGAAGTAAAATGTTTCTTTCCGCGTTGGTTTTGTTTCCTCGCTGGCTTTTGTCACTACGGGCACACGTCTGGTAGATAAATTCTTGTGTAGAGCTACTTAAGCTATGGTACATGAGACGGTACATCAAGTTGTGATTGCGCTCAGTTCGTTTACGCAGTAGTAGTCGGGCCACCCAGTAATCCTCCTCTGTTCGAAGACACAAAGACCATAGACCCCTGGGACATCAAGACAAAAAGCGAAGCTCTCGGAGGATCCAGAAAAATTACAGAAGGCGATCTCAACGACAAGTCGTTCCATGGCGGCTCACGCCGTTGCAATCGAACCAATTGCCACGCTCCAATTAGTGCCCACACACCGCCCATTTCACGTGTCGAACCACGGTCATGCGTAATCGATTTCTGCTCGGCCCAAACATCAGGCACTTTCAGACTCCACCCTCTGGTCTCTTTGTTAAGCTGTTCCTGATTATTGCTCTCTTCTGCTGCTGCTCTGTGCTTCTGTGACACTGACAGGACCCCACATCTGCGAAGGGTACCTTGCATCTTCAAGCCCTCGTAGATTTCAGCCGGGCCGGTTGGGAAGGGTTGGCAGTTTTGGGTATCAGTGAGCTGACGCACCCTGATATTCCTCTACCCAAATGGTACAACATCGTCTCCAAGACCTAGAACTTACAGTGACCGTCACCAGATGTTGGTCGACATGATCCATTGATACTCCGCCGTGCGTGGGTTCCAGAGACTAACGCGAAAAAAGGGGGCGCTGCGTCGCCCCATCTCAATGCAATCCGTCGGTAGCCAATCACGGCTCTGACACACCTGTTCAATAAGTTGCACCACCAACCCTTCAAAAAGTTTCAGTTCCACTGGTCTCGATTGGGCGAGTATATCGTGGCATGTGAAAGTCTTCGCAGGCGAGTGTCTTGCGAAAACATACCTGTGCCTGACTTCATGCCTCACAGCACAGATAGAACATGGTCTGATGTCACGGCTGCTTCAACATCGGGGGCCTGCATGTACAATGTATAATACCAGATGCGTCCCGTCTTGCAAACGGGAACCAACAAACCTGGCAGGTGCAGTGTGAGTTCATCAGTTCTGCGGAGCCGCAATGTTGAGACTACTCAATGGTTAATGCAAAAGGGAAATTCGGGTCCGAAATCAGAACCTCGGCGCGATTTTCCGTGAAAACACAGTGGCGTATTAGATTGAGTCGTAAAAGAGCATTTGAAGCAGTTCGGATGCGAGATGATGGGCCAGGATCATCTAGCTTTGCAGTTACGTAGAACCTGCCAGTCGATTAACTATCTCAGAAACCTCTATGACTTTTCACAGGAGTGGCCTCTTGGAAAGTAGCATCCCTCCTAAGCTGCATGCATCCATTCTCTCGTATGACCGTAGAGAACACTTACACAAGCTATGCGATTACTGAAGGGCTACATAATCTATGCCTTGAGAGTATCAAACTCATTAGGAGGATTAACACCAGCGATGCCAACCCGCAAATTATGCCCAATCACGACTCTCTATTTCTGATTCTGGTGCTTCATAAACTGCTTCGACCACCTCTCGTAGCCGTCCAGCATCTGGTGCGTGATACCCTTGGGAACAGACTTGATGGCGTCCACAATATCCTCCATGCAAACCTTGACCTGCTCCGCCTCCCCATCCAACCTGACGCCGCCGCCACTACCTTCTTCCGTAGCCCCAATGTGCGTCCTGCTCAGCGTCTTGCTCAACGCCGGCTCCGTCGCCACGTTGACAATCTGCTTAATCTCGGCACCCGAGAACCCTTCCGCCAGCCTCGATAGCTCCGCCACGTCCACATCCGCCGCGAGGGGAAGCTTGCGCAGATACAAGTTAAACACAGCCTCCCGACCCGCGGCGTCCGGCGGACCAACGTACACGATCCGGTCGAAGCGGCCGGGCCGGAGGAGAGCCGGGTCCATGGCCTCGGGCCGATTCGTCGCGGCCAGAATAAGCACGCCCGAGAGCGCTTCGAAGCCGTCCATCTCGGTCAACAGTGTCGTGAGCATATTCACGGCACCCTGGCTCTTTGCGGCACCGGCACCGCCGCCATTGCCGGCGCGCTGGCCGCCGATAGAGTCGATCTCGTCAAAGAAGATGATACTCGGGCTCGCGGCGCGCGCGCGCTCAAAGAGCTGCCGGACGGCGCGCTCCGACTCGCCCACGTACATGTTGAGCAGCTCCGCGCCCTTGACAGCAAAGAAGTTGAAGCCGGACTCGGTGGCCATGGCCTGCGCCGACAGCGTCTTTGAGCATCCCGGCGGGCCGTAGAGGAGGAGACCCTTTGGCGGGGTAAGGATGAGCTTCTGGACCGTCGGATCGTTTGTCGTGGTGAGGGTGATCATGTTGCGCAGGGCGTTCTTGAGGCTCTCCTGCCCGCCGACGTCCTGCCAGTGGATGGTGGGCGGCTTGAGGTTCACGTCGTGCATGGCCGTCGGCCTGGTGGAGCGGAGGGCGTGCTCGAGGTCCTCGCTGGAGAGGTACGGGGTGCCCAGCGCCTCCTCGTCGTAGCCGGCTTCGTCTGGGTCGAGACGCTCTGCCGAGATGATCATTGCGTTTTCGATGAGTCTGTCGAGGTCGCTTGCGTTGTAAGCATGTGTTTGCTGTGACAGCTTGGCCAGCATCACGTCCTTGACCTCTGGCTGGATGGGTATTTCAAAGGATTTGAGAATCTCGAGTCGGCCCTCTGCGTTGGGTATCGAGAGGGGGATGTTCCGCTCGAATCTCGTTCTCTTTTGTAGCTCGGGAGGGACGTCCGTCATGTAGTCTAGACAGGTGGCGATGACCACGACCTTTGGTAGTGTGCCGTTCTTGAGGGCGTCCTCGGCCAGCTGGTCAAGCTGCTGGCCTAACCGTTGGGTGATGGCCGTGGAGTTTGCCCGGTCTTTCCCAATCAGAGCTTGGAGGCCATCGATGAGGATGATGCTGGGCTGCATCGTCCGCGCTTGCTTAAAGACCTCCTCGACGGTCGACGACTTGTCGTTCTCTTCGATCCGGAAGACTCGGCCCCAGCCCGTACTCGCTATCCGGTTCAGGATATACGACTTGCCTGTACCCCGTCCGCCGTGGATGACGATTCCGCATGATTTCTGTTGGCCCTTGTAGACGAACTTTGCGTTGAAGCCACGGAGGAAGCTTCGCAGCTTCTTCTCTTCCGCATGTAAACCAGGGATATCCGGAACCACTAGTTTCGTCACGTCGCGGACTTCCTCGACTGGCTCCTTCTCCTCGCCTGAGACGATGGTGGGTACTGTTGAGACGACATAGCGGGCTACATTATGTGTCTGGCCGTCTACGGATGTGATTCTGAATATTTGTTTTGACCCAGGTGCCACACACTCAAACTTCATGCCCGGAAAAACTTGTTCAGCCCGGCCTGAAAATAGTCAGCACCAGTTCTACAGCAAGTCTGAAGTGAAGAGAGGCTATCTCAGATATGAGCATGAGATGTAAATGTGTTATTGCGCATAGAGGCCATATTAGAATATCACAGGAAGACTGGCGGCAGCCAGGTTTGGTTGAAATGAGGAAGAACTGCGCAACTCACCAAGATAGAATCGGATGACTCCCACCCAAGCCCCCTCCCACGCTTTAATCTCGGCCTTTTCCCTCTCAGACGTCGTCACAGGCAGAATACTAACCGACTCAGCGTCAAGCACCGCAGAAGTCTCCGTCATCGTAATCGTAATCTGGTCACCCAGCTCGAACCCGCAGGCCTCGCGGTACGCCTCGCTCATGAGGATGATGTTGGGGCTGATGTTCTTATCCGCGAGCGTCCAGAGCGCGGCCTCTCGGCGCAACGGCTCCGTTGACGTCGTCGTCGCCGCAGATTTGGCCGCATCCTGAGCGGCGGTCCTCGTAACGACGCAGCGCCTGCCGTTGTCGACGCTCCCCGTAAGCTGGATCAGGGAGTCCCGGTTGACGTAGATTCTCGAGGCACCTTTGAGCGTCGACTTTTCGAGCGTCTTGTCGAAAGGCGCCAGGGGGCGGACCTTTCCGTCGATGGTCTTGGCCATAGTCTGTGATAGCCGGAGGCAGGGTTGATATCGTGTCCCTGGTGGCCGTCGTCTTGACCCCGGCGAGTCTCTCACTGAGTGCGCAGCTCAGCCCACCGGACAAACAAGTCGCGGATTGCCTGAGTGTAATCCGATGAGAGGCTGGAAAAACGTCAGATCTAGAAGAAGGTAAACCGAAAGCCTCCCGTTCCTGAATCTTTCGTCTCTTGTGACCTGTCGGAAGAGCCTGTGTTGTTCAGACGACGTTTATTCTTCATCCGTCACTGCCCACATGAGTTGACAATGGTGTAGGGCCCAGACCGGGGTATGGCATCGAGAAAACCCTGCGACAAGAAGATCCGGCAACGATGGATTTTTCAACGAAGCAACTGTGACAGCCACAGTCCCGACTTCTATTCCAGCAGGTATTGTGAGGGTATCAACGTCTCTATGAAATTCCCTAGGTATTTTGTTGGATTTTATCTACTTTCTTGAGCTCGTGCCATGTAGATATGTTTCCTCAGTGAATCGTCCGGGATTTCGTGTAAGTGAGCCATGAAAAATTCAGAGACCCCTCCCTCCCCTCCACCAGGTCCCGACTCCCGACTAATTTTCCTCCAGACATCGGCCCCACACCAGCTCAAGTCGAGGGTACGTACCTACCCTGCCACGCCCTGTTCAACGTCGCAGCAAGCAAGAAAGTTAGGTCCAGCCTTTAAACTTCTTTCTTTACTTACAACAGCCTCCTCCACCTCTACCACGGAAGCCTCAAAGACGCACGCGAACCGATATACGAGAAGCCTTTCTCTCCCAACCCTTGTCCTCCGACTCGACGAAGCCCAAGTCCCTCCGGGCCCATGCAATGGGCTGACCTCCGAGGGCTGCGCAGCTCGACCCTCAGAGTTGCCCGGATGACCACAATCGCAGCCCGACGACGGCTCCCGCTGTTGCAGCAGCTGCCGTTACCACAGACGCCAGCATCTACACTCCGACGATTCTTTCGCGCAGATCACGACTCTGGCACACGACTCTTCTCGACCCAACCCCAGCGCAGCTCACCCGACGACAAATGGGGCAAGAAGAAACCGTCACGGAAAGAAGAGCCAAAGGCAAATCCGCCTTCGCTTTTCGAGGAGCTGTTTCCAAACGATGACATTTACTCTCACTCAAGTCGTCGCAACAATGAACAGGATGATGGAGAAGGCAAAGGCAAGGTCAAGGTCCGGTTCCTGACCTCCACCGACCCGGAAAAGTCCGAGGCGACAGAGTACAGACTGAGGCAACTGGAGCGCAAGAACAAATCCAGCAAGGCAGGAGGCGAAGCGGCCGGCAAGATTGCAGACTTTTTTGAGTCGAGCGCACGTGAAAAGGAGAAAAGGGACAAGGCCGCCGACGGAGAGAGCTCCTCCATCTTCAACGAGCTCTTCTCGTCCCCGGGATCGGGAGGAGCAGAGTCGGCGGCGGGAGCAGTGCTGGGCAAAGGAGGCGTCGAGGCCTTGTTGAGGAACTCT